TCTCTCTCTCTCTCTCTCTCTCTCTCTCTCTCTCTCTCTCTCTCTCTCTGTCTCTGTCTGTCTCTCTCTCTCTCTCTCTCTCTCTCTCTCTCTCACACACACACACACACAGGTCCCTCACACACACACACACACAGGTCCCTCACACACACCCAACCCGCTCCAAGGCAGCCACATTCCTAACCGGCTTTTCAGCTCCGTTCTCAGCGGGAGAGAGAGAGAGATCGGATCTAACCTCGAAGGGCTGGTGGTGATGTTCTCTCTCTCTCTCTCTCTCTCTCTCTCTCTCTCTCACACACACACACACACCCCTCATAACCCCTTCAAGGCAGCCATATTTCTAACCTGCTTTTCAGCTTCATTCTCGGGGAGAGAAAGAGAGAGAGATCCGCTCTAACCTTGGAGGGCTGGTGGTAATGTTCAGCCAAAAGCAGAAGAAAGAAGTAGAAAGAAGCAGCCTGGTGGCCAGGCCAGGTGCGTGAGGCACATGGGGCAAGTTCCCCCCCCTGCCCTTTCCCCCTGTTTGCAAGCCTTGTTTTCCCACAGGCCATGTGGGCGGCACAGCCTTGTATTCCCGCGCAACCTGGATTAATTGCTTTGAGGGGTGCTTTGGGAGTGACATTTCTCTACGGACCACCAAAATTTTCTTGCGGACCACCAGTTGGCGACCACTGCTATAGGGCACCCAATCAAGCAGAAAAAATAGATGTCCTTTTTGCTAACCAACTAACAAATGTATTAGGAAACACACTACAATAGTGATGGGGGATTTCAACTACCCTGACATCGAATGGAAGAGTAATTCTGCACCTCAAATAGGTTCCTATCCAACCAAAAGTTGTCCAAAAGGTAGAGAAGGAAACTAGAGGGACAGCCATACTGGACTAATTCTTACAAGCAAAGAAGATGTGATTGAAACTGCATGAAACTTGGGTGAAAATGACCATATCATACCAGAATTAAAAATAATACAAACACAAGCAATATAATATAATATAATGATACCAGAGTCTTAGATTTTAAAAGAGCTGATTTTCATAAACTCAGAGAGAACTTGGGAAAGATTCCTTGGATGAAAATCCTAAAGGGGAAAACAACTCAAGAATCTTGGGAAACTCTGAAAAATAAGATCATAGAAGCCCAAAACAAGAAATCCAAGAAGAAACCAGCATGGCTGCACAAAGATGTCTCTGACAAATTGAAAGACAAAAAGGACAACTACAAAAAATGGAAAGAGGGACACACAACTAAGGAAGAATATCAGCAGATAGCCAGAATCTGGAAAGATTAAGACAGAGTGAACAAAGACTTGCAACAAAAGTAGAAGATAATTTTAAAAAAGTTTCTTCCAACATATAAATAACAAGAAAAAAATCAAGGGAACAGTCAGACCACTAAAGAGAGAAGATAGAAAGGAAGTAACAGGAAACAGAGAGAAAGCAGAGCTGCTTAACTCATTCTTTGCATCGATCTTCACGCAAAAAGAAACTATAGCTCAATCTACCAAAAACATAACTGTAAAAGATAGATTAGAAACAAAAGTTAAAATAAGCAAAAAAAATAGTAAGAGAACACCTGTCTGATCTTGATGAATACAAATCACCGGGACCTGACAGATTACATCCCAGAGTTCTAAAAGAGCTGGCAGATGTCATCTCAGAACCATTGTACCACAACTTTCAAAAATCCTGGAGCACCGGGGAACTACTAGAGGACTGGAAAAGAGCTGATGTGGTTCCCATTTTTTTTAAAAAGGGAAAAAAAACAGACCCAGGAAATTACAGACCAATCAGCCTAACATCAATATCCGGGAAGATACTGGAAAAGATAATGAAAAAAAAAAATCAGATCTGCCAACAACTAAGTAATAACTAGAAGTCAGCATGTTTGTTAAAAACATCATGCAAAAGCAATCTTGATGAAATTGATAGACCAGCAAAATACTATGGACATAATATATTTAGACTTCAGCAAGGCATTCAACAAAGTAGACCACAACTTACTTCTTGGTAAGGTAGAAAAAAGTGGGATAGATAGCATCACCATCAGATGGATTTGTAACTGGCTGACAAACTGTACTCAACAAGTAGTCCTTAATGGGTCTAAGTCTACATGGAGGGAAGTAAGCAGTGGGGTATCACAAGGTTCCATCTTAGGCCCAGTACTCTTCAATATCTTCATAAACAACTTAGATGAGGGAATAGAAGGGGAATTTACCAAATTTGTGGGTGATATTAAACTGGCAGGAATAGCCAACACTCTAGATGATAGGCTCAAGATCCAGATGGACCTTGACAGACTTGAACTCTAACAAAATGCAATTCAGTGTAGAGAAAAGCAAAGTCTTATACTTAGGCAAGAAAAACCAAAGGTACACATGTAGACTGGGTGAAACCAGGCTTAATCACAATAACTGTGAAAAGGTTATTGGAGTCTTAGTGGACAACCATTTAAATATGAGCCAAAAGTGTGCAGTGGCAGCCAAAAAAGCCAATGCAATCCTAAGTTGCAGAGGGATACAATCGAGATCAAGTGAGGTACTAATACCACTTATAAAGCCTTAATAAGACCACACCTAGAGTACTGCATCCAGTTTTGGTCACCAAACTACAAAAAAGATGTTGAGGCTCTAGAAAAAGTGCAGAGAAGAGCAATCAGGATGATTAGGGGACGACACTAAAGCATATGAAGAACAGACCTGGGCATGGCTAGTCTAGTGAAGAGAAGGACCAGGGGAGACATGATAGCAGTGTTCCAATATTTGAGGGGCTGCCACAGAGAGGAGATGCTCAAGCTATTTTCCAAGGCACCGGATGGCCAGACAAAGAATAATGGATGTAAACTGAACAAGGAGAGATTCAACCTGAAAATAAGGAGAAAGTTTCTGACAGAACAATTAACCAGTGGAACAACTTGCCTACAGAAGTTGTGGGAGCTTCGTCACTGGAGGCTTTCAAGAAGAGATTGGACTGCCATTTATCAGAAGTGGTGTAAGGTCTCCCGCTTGGGTGGGGGGTTGGAGTAGATGATCTACAAGGTCCCTTCCAACTCTGTTAATCTGTAATTTACTGCCTATTTTATAACATTTCTTGCCCCAATTGTTAAGTTAAATCACTGCAGTTGTTAAGTTAGTATCACAGTTGTTAAATGAATCTGCAATTGTTAAGTTAGTATCACAGTTGTTAAATGAATCTGGCTTCCCTCATTGACTTTGCTTGCCAGAAGAGGGTAATCACATGATCCCAAGACATTGCAAAGGTCATAAATAGGAATCAATTGCCAAGTGTCTTTTTTCAGTGATGATGTAACTGTCAACCTGACAGTAACTTTGAATGGTCACTAAATGAACTGTTGTAAATCAAGGACTACTTGCACTTGCTTTTGTTATTCAATTGTGTGATATATAATTGTTTAAAAGTCTGAATATTGTGGTTAAGCTTTAAGCAAATCATAAACCACAGAATGAAATTCTTAACTACATTGTATCCATATGGACTAAACACTGTTCTAAATTTCAAAGTCCTATAAAACTAAATAAAGACTTTTTACATCCAAATTCTGGATGTAATACTCATCCATGTATTGAACCAGTGGTGAGATTCAGCCAGTCTGGTCCGGTTCAACCGAATGGGTAGCCATTCAATACATGGATGTGTATTACACCCGGCCACGCCCCTTGCCATTCCCAGCCACTTGCCTCAAATGAGGCTGAAGATATGTTGCTGGAGCTGAATGGATGGGCTTTAAAGCATTTTAAAGTAGCCTGGAGCCTCTTTCTCTCCTCTCCCTCCTCCCCCCGAGTCTGCGCCTATCCCATTTGGAAGATACTTAATTTTGTAGTTGCTGACTACGTCCTCCATGCTTCCTAAATGAGGTCGATCGAATGGGAAGTGGCTGGTGGGTGCAGATGTGAAATTAATCCTCCTTTCTATAAAATCCATTCAGAAAACACAAACAGATATGGTTTAATTCTGCTTCAACCCAGATTGCAGGAGAGAAGTTTAAAATTATTATTTAATTGACTAATTCATTGGAAATTGCTCTGTTATGGCTTTTCATGGGATGTAGTGCTTATGATGGGCTATAAGCAGGTAATACTCAGCCTTAAAATTATGTTATGGAGGTAGAAAGGCAATTAGATTTGCTGGCCTTCCTAGGTATGATTTTCAGTAGTCAGTCTCTGCTGTTTTACACTACTAATATAATTAAACCAAATACCTATCTCTAAATTTAAGACAGCACTAACTCTAGAACATTTTAATGGACTAGGAATAGCCATCCTGGAAGAGATAGTTTGGTGGTGATGGGGACTTTACTCTTTAAAGCTGTGTCCTTGTAATGAAGGGGCAGTTTATATTACATTTTGATAGATTAATCCACCAGTAGAAAATAGGTAACATCCATTTGAGGTCAATCCATGCATTTAGTGAGGAGGAGGCGGAGGCAATATTAAATTAGACACCCCTCCCCAAATGGGGCAATCCAGTAGAAGTGCTTTGATGGTTCTGTCCAAGCAGAGACACAAGCGTAGTAGGTATGGAATCTTATTAAAACAATTCATACAGAGATACAATGCTCAGTATCTTTAAAGTTGGTAATTCTTTCATGTTACTGATTTGATAGTAATCAAATGATCAGGTCTCATGCTGCCTGCGTAATTCTGGGAATTGAAATCCACATGTCTTAAAGTTGCTAAGCTTGAAAAACACTCAGAAGTAGAATAACTTCTTGTGAGCCTGGGTTATTTTCCTGAATTTTGGGAATAAGGAAATTATCCTATTGTGCCTGGTGCAGAGATGCAGCTGAAATCTAGTTAGATGCTAATCGGAAGGTTAAAGCCGCAGATACAGATAGTATCTTACAACCATTTGTTTAGCCTCCATTCAAAGTTACAAGAGCACTGAAAAAAGTGACTTATGACTGATCCTCTCACTTATGACTGCTGCAGCAACTCCATGTGGTCATGTGATCAAAATTCTGGCGCTTGGCAACCAGCATGTATTTAACGATGGATGCAGCATCCTGAGATCATGTGATTGCTATTTACAACCTTCCCAGCTGACATCTGACAAGCAAAGTCAACAGAGAAGCCAGATTTGCTTAATAACTGCATGATTCACTTAATTGCAGGGATTGCTTAGCAACAATGGGGAAAAGTGTTGTAAAATCGTGTGTGGCTCACTTAACTGCCTTGTTTAGCAATGGAAATTATGGTCCCAATTTTGGTCATAAATTGAGGCCTACTTCCTTTGGGATGCCTGGGTGATTTATGGTTCACCAAAACCTCCAATTACTTTTGTTATTCAAGCATAGTAAGAAAATGTTTACATGTAGTTTGCTGAGGATTACCAGATTAACAGCAAAGGCTCAGTGCAGAAGCCAAATGTTTGCAAGTTTCTGATGATAAGATTTTGAAATAGTTCCACCAGGTTTAGTCACTGTTAGGACAGCAAAAGATACAAATTTTCCTTGGCTGTTTATTTCAGTGTTTACATATTATTTTCCTTTCCTGAAGGCCAACTCTATCAAATGCACCCTCAACCACACATGTAAGGCTAAGCAGTAATCATATAATACATTACATGAATGTTATCTTAATCAAGGTTGATGCACACCTCGTAATCTTATAAGGCAGCACTTCTCCAGTCTCTGAAAATCCAGCAAAATCAATAACAGCAGTTCATCTGCAGCTCTCAAAACAGTTATTCTTCAAATTATTAATATAAAGTCAGAATAGAGGTGTTCTGAGAAAATGTACTGGAAATATGATTTGAGTATTGGTAAATCTGAGCCTTTGGAATCAGTAAAACTTACTTTCCAGTAAATGTACATACTGGAAATTTGTGAGCACACAAATCAAAGCTTGCCATTATGCAAGGGTTGAACTAGCTGAAGTAGTATCTTAATTATCTGCAGTTCTCATACATTTATAGGGAGCATTTTGATCATCTTGGTTTATTGGTGTCAGTGCTTGTCAAAAGGAACTGGGAAAGTCAGTCTGCTTCTGGATTAATCCTTGTTCAGACAGTCCATTTCAGCAGGAAACTAAGAAAGTTGCTGAATTGCAGCATTAATTTTATTGAATGTTAAGTCTGTGGGTGTGGACAGAATTTCAGGCATTTCAGTTGGAAGCCAGAATGAGTGGAAACTGAAAGAAAAACTAGTAAAAATGTATTTGGATTTTACAGACATCCTTGGTGAAGCGTTCTGTTTAAAATTCTATACAAACTAATGGTTACCTTGGGTGATAAACTGCTATGGCTTTTTCCTGTATCAATTTATTTATAGAATGCATATATAATGATTATATATTTTTTCTGGCTTTATGATCTAATGAGGGTAAAATTATTTGGAACAGAAGTTGCTCTGCTGCTTCCAAACTAAATGATGGCTAATAAGGCAGGCAGTCTTTTTGTCACCCAGCATGGGAAAATATATATGCAATTAATAATAATAATTTATTAAGTTTGTATGCCACTTGACTCCAGCAACTCAAGAAAATCTGCTTCATCTAAGGCCACGCCCACCCAGTCACATGACCACCCAGCCACACCCACCCAGTCACATGGCCACCAAGTACGCCCACCCAGTCACATGACCACCAAACCATGCCCATCCAGTCACATGACACCAAGCTATGCTCACCCAGTCACCAAGCCACACCCACAAAACTGGTAGTAAAAAAAATTGGAATCCCACCACTGTGTTGAACTATAATAAGATTAATTGTAATATTACTTATTGGAGACATCTTTGTTCTAGTAATGTTCATTTTCCAGTATTTTCTAGTTGAATCTGTTCTGCTTAAGAAATACATATACTGTAATTTATATATATTTATGTGGTACAATCTTCAGGTAGAACTAGTTGTACTTTACATTTTGTAGGGTAAATTTCTCTTGCAGATTATATTTATGAAAAATTAATAAAGCTTTGAAACTTCCCTCCTCCCTCACCCTCCTCCCTCACAGGAGACTGTTTTGAATATGGTAACAGAAGATACCCAGAACCACACTATGTGTTACAAGGACTGTTTTTTGCCAGGTACTGACTTGGGATGCCATAATGTTAGCAGAATTATGGAAGAACTCGACAAATGTAAGAAAGATCTTCTGAGTCTGTACCAGGAGTTACATGAGCATAGAACCCTCAAGAAACTGGCTTGCTATGGAGAGGTAAGACCTGTTAGAAATCCAATTGGGATTAAGACTTCCTCTTTTTCGACTTTTAATGTTAATTTGTTTTCAATCTTTTGGGTGGGAAGTTTAAGTTATGGTTTTTCTCAATGAAGGAATACATTTGCATATGTTTAAGATTGTGACTTACTAGTGTAATCAAATGTGTGTATCAAACACACACACACACACACAAAATTTATACAATATAAATTAATATAGAGTGCTGAATTACAAAATTCTTACAAAATTCTAATATTTTGACACTTATTGTTGTCAAATACAAATCTTCAATAAACTGCACAGCCGGATAGAAAATAGCCCTAGAAAATGGGCAAAAAAACTTCCTTTCTATTTCCCAGAAAGAAATGGTGGCAAAACCAAACTTGTTGATCTATGATAAAATTTTATCTTTTAAATTGGGTGACTCAATATTAAAGCTGAGGGAAGAACTTGAATCAGAAGGTTATGTTTGCCACTGGTTTACTTATCAACAACTAAAAGAAAGATTTAAACTGGACAAAAAATGCTATGAATTTGACTGTTAAAAATGAATTGGAAATTTTATTATGTGGAAATGATGAACATATTGCTAAGATCCATAAAATGTTATTGAAATTGAATTTGGAAAATGAGTATGTAAAACATTGTATGATTCAATGGGCAAGGAATTTTGGATATAATGTGATGCTTGAACAATGGGAAAATATGTGGATGAAGTGTTTAAAATATACATTAAATTATAATCTAAAAGAAAATTTCAATAAGATAATGCATCATTGGCATTTAACACCAGATAAGCTGTCTAAGATGTATAAAGGTATGTCAAATGAATGTTGGAAGTATAAAAGTAAAGAAAGGACTTTTTATAATCTATGGTGGACATGTGATAAAGCAAAAAAAAAGGAATATGATTCATATTTTAATACAGAAAATTTTGAAAATGGAGATAAAGATGAAATCAGAATTCTTCCTTTTGGGTCCAATGGAAACAGACCTGGAGAAAAAATTTGGAACTTTGTTACTATATATGTTGACAGCAGCAAGACTACTATATGCACAAAAAATGGAAGGATACTTCATTTCCTAACATGGACAACTGGTTGTACAGATTGATGGAGTTGGCTGAAAAGGCAAAATAGACTCTTTTGATTAAAGAAAATAATATAAGTACTTTTATTTTCACATGAAGACCCCTTCTGAACTTTGTGCTTGAAATGGAAATGAATGAAATGTTGGTTTTGGGTTTTACTGATTAGATTGATAGATTTTTATGGAAATGACTTGTTCATATTATTATGAAAAAAACAAAAAGTTGTGATTTGATGTTTCTTTTTTTCTTATCCTTCCTCACTTCTCTTCCCCCTATTCCTCCTCACCATTTTCCTATTTACTTTCATATTTTGTATCTTATTTTATTTTATAACCCAATAAAAATGTTAAACACCAAGACTACTTCCCAGAGACATGCTGGGAAAAGGAAAACCACGCTACAAACCAAAATCAAAACCCAGAATCAAGAGGCCAAATAGTGGTCAACATGTCCAGTTGTCTGCTATCTATCGCAGAACATAATATTCTACAAATAGGCCTGAACTATAAATACTGCATAAAAGGCCTCAACTATAAATACTGCACAAATATTGCTGATCAACTAGAATTCTTGGCAGTTTTAGAAGGAGCATTAAAAACCACAGAACTTCCCACAGAGATTCAAGAAAATATCATATAAACCATTATACCACAGATCAGAAGAAGAGAAGAAAAAAACTAACTACAGCAGTCCTCCAAAATCTAAAAAAGGACCAGATTATCCTCATCCTATCAGAGTACCATAGTAATTTTGGACAGATCAAAACACAAAGAATTACTAGAAGACAAAGAAACTTACTTCTATTGAATACCAATCCAATGCAGAAACTAGACAATTGGAACAACAAAGTGACCTCACCAAGAAAGGCTAAATTAATGATGAGGAACAGTGGCATATGAGAAACGGAACCCATTTTCCCATGCTTCCATGGGTGCCCCCCAAAACACAATCCTGATACTTTTCAGAGTTGCAACAGAGCAGGACTTCAGCCCTATGTCTGAATTGCCTACAAAGAACCCTGAAATTTCCACATTGAAGGAATGGATCGGTCAACTACAAAACATTTGGCTGGTAGGATGCAAGGCATTTCAAGAAGCCAGAGATGCCTACAAAAGCCAAGCCAACAAAAAACAGACTGAACCTAAAAAGTGTAATGTGGCAGATCAAGTATACCTCTCCATGCATTACCTCCAATCTTTACAGCCTTCAAAAAAGCTTTCCTTGCGGAAAGTCCACCCCATTTTCCATTACAGTTTGTTAAAGCCTAAGGTAGTTCAAGACCAGCTACTCCTCCTGTCCCTCAGCCATTCATGGTGGAAGGGGAATAGCACTGTTTCAAGAGTCATGCTTTCTTTTGCTATCTTTTCAGGAAAGCATGACTCTTAAAATGGTGGTAGTTCAAAGGAAACTTTTACTGAGAGAGTGATTGCAGAGAAGTCTTTAACCCCTCAACTGATCCCCAATCCACCAGTAGCCAATAATATTCCAGTGTTATGAAAATTCCAAGGTATGTCAGCTTGATAGCAGTTTATTCTCAGGACATTGCAACTTTGTCTGCAGGCTGGAACTGGCTGGGAGGAAGTCCATCCATCGCATAGACCTGGCTCCCATCCCATGCATTACAGCAAAAATGAAAGTATGAAAAGAATCTGGCTCCAGCACCTGCCCCCTCCTCCAGAATGGCAGTGTCCCGATGGGGACCTGACATGCTGCCCCCCTGAAAAAAGGAGATGTCACACCTGCAGGGATAAACAGAACAAACGGGAGACAGAAACAGAATATTAGACTTATTTATCAAAGTATTGATTATGAAACCGCTTGAGCAACTTAGGGGCTCTAACGTTGTTTGTTTACCCATTATTTTGGGAGCTTGAAAATCTTTCCAAGCTACCAAGTATTGGATTGTGCCCCTGTGCTTCTGGAAATTTAAAATCTCTTTAACTTCCAAGTGCTATTGCCCTTCTACCATGAATGGCTGAGAGACAGAAGGGGGAGCTGGTCTTAAAGGGTAAACTACCTCAGGCTTTTACAAACTGCAATGGAAAACAGTGGATTTTCCACAAGGATTTGGGCATGTCTAGTTCTACTGTGACTGGATTAATAATATATTTGATGGGAAACAGTCCTATAAACTTTGGCCCAGGCTTCTTGGAAGGCTGTAAGGATTGATGGTAGTGTATAGTAGAGAGGTATACTCGACCTCCCACATTAAGCTTTTTAGGTTCAGTCTGGGTTTTTTTTCCAGCTTGGCTTTTGTAGGCATTTTTGGCTTCTTGAGCGCCATGTGCACTATTGGCCAGGTGTTTTGTAATTGGCCAATCCATTTCTTCAATGAGGGAATTTCGGGGCCCTTCATGGGCAATTCAGGCATAGGATTGCATTCCTGCTCTGTTGCAACTCTGAAAAGTGTGAAGACAGTACTGCTATGAATCAAATTACTGTAGGCCACTTCTGCAAAAGGTAAAAGGTCAGTCCAGTTGTCCTGTTGGTAGTTTATAAAGCATCTCAGGTATTGTTCTAGCACTGACTTAATCTGTTCATAGCTGCCTTTCATCTGTGGATGCTGCAAAGAACTAAGTCTCTGGTCCGTGCCTAACAGGTACAGGAAGGCTCTTCTGAAGTTGGATGTGAATTGGAACACCACCACCCCCGCTGAGATGATACATTGGGGAACTCCATGTAGCCTATAAATGTGATGCAAAAATAATTTGGCAAGTTCTTTTCCCATTGGTATTTTTTTTCTTGGCATGGGATGAAATGAACCTGTTTCTAAAACAGATCTGTCACCAGCCAAATGACTATGTTTCCTGTGCTTTGGGGGAGTTCCACAATAAGGTCTATAGAAATCTCTGTCCAGGTTGCTGACGGCTCAGCTACTGTTTGGAGCAGTCCTAGAGTCTTTCCTTATCTCTGCTTAGCTAAAGCACAGACAGGGCAACTTGACACATAGCTTTCAATATCTTTTTTGAGGGAAGACCACCAGAATTGTCTCTTGATTAAGTGCAGGGTTTTTACAAATCCAAAGTTCCCAGCAATGTTTGCATTGTGGCAGGTTTGCATAATTAGGAGTGTTTGACTGTCTGGTACATATAGTTTTCCCTCCCTCCCAGGCCAGTCAGTCCTGGGTAGAGCAGACATTGTTGTACCTTCAAAACTACTCATTGTCAGTAAGCACTTTCATGAAAGCTGCAGCCATGTCATTACTAACAGATCATTTTTCTTTTCCCTGAGCCCTGATGGTTACTGAGGATGCACGTTGACATTTTGGAAGCAGTGATTTGATTATTTCTGCTTTGGGGCAATTATATTGTGGCATTCATGATAGGGCATCAGCTAGGAAGTTCTTTCCTGCTAGTAAGTAGCACAGTATGAAGTTGAATTGATGAAAATATTGTGCCCATCATGCCTGTTTAAGAGAAAGCTTCCAAGGGGTCTTGGATGCCTCCAGATTTTTGAGATCAGTCCACACTTGGAAAGGGATTTTACTCCCTTCTAAGAAATAACTCCAGGAAAAGAGTGCCCGTCTTACTGCATAGGCCTCCTTCTCCCATATGGTCCACTGGTGTTCAGTCTCTGATACTTTCTTTGAAGTGTAGGCACACAGCTGTAACTGCCCTTTCTTGTTCTCTTCCATTAACATTGCTCCAAAAGCCATGTCACTGATGTTGGCCTGAATTACAAAAGTGTTCTCTGGGTCTTGGTGGTGAAGAGCCATTTAAGTTTTTCAAACGCGGCTTGGCACTCCTTTGACCATTTTAATGATTGGCTAGGGTTAGGTTTGTCTCCCCCTTTGGTTTTTTAACAGATTAGTAACGGAGAGGTCTATCTGAGTGAATGAGGGGATGAATTGCTGTAAAAGTTCACAAATCCTAGGAAGCTTTGCAGTTGCTTCCTTGTGTGGGGTGGA